ACCCTTCATCAGAAAAGGGTCTGATGAAGGGTCTAGGCCCGAAACGTCAGCCTTTCTGCTCCTGTGATGCTGCTTGGCCTGCTGTGTTCATCCAGCCCTGCACCTTGTTGACTTAAATATATTCTTTTGTTACGGATTTGATCACAACATGTTGGAATTGCTGCTTAGGCCAGCATTTATTGCATAGAGCTAATTGCTCTTTGGAAGGTGGTAGAGAGCTGCTTTTCTGAGTCTCTGCAGTCTATACGATTTCAGTACAACCACACTGCTGCTGGAGACTGAATTACAAGATTTTGACCCAGTTACAGTATAGGGATTATAACAGTGTTCCAAGTATGAATGGTATCTGATTTTCAACGTTTATTAAAACATTTTTAAAAATCTAAAATATGAGCAAAAGTAAGCAATTCGGACCATTGAGTTTTCTTGCCCATTCAATAATACCACGGCTGATCCTGTTCATTAATGCAATACTCCTACACTCTCCATATACCATTCGATACGATCCAGAAATCTAGTTTTTCTGAAATGTATTCAGTGACTCGGCGTCCACAGCGTTATGTGGCAGTGAATTACATAGTTCCCTCAGGGAGGAACGAACGTAAGTTCTTCTCATCTCAGTCTGAAATGATCTATCCTGAATCCTGGGATACTGACTCGTTGCTTTCGGTATCCAAGTGAAAGGAATCTCATCCTTGCGTTTCGTCTGTTCAGAACTGTCACACTTTTAAACAATTCAATGAGTTCTTCTCTCGTATTTTTAAAATACAGTGAATGCAGGCCCAATATCTCCACATACGATAAACATGCACGTTTTGATGAACTCCCTCTGTGGCAAGTACCGGATGAGAAGTCCGAGCCGTGGTCACACCAAGGATCTGTTTAGTTGCAGAAAGGCAATTTTCCCCCGTAATTTCCTTGCAAAGAAGGCCAACATACCATTTGTCTTCCTAACTGCTTGCTGCACCTGCATGCTTGCTTTCAATCACTGATGAACAAGAATAGTCTCTTTTGTACACCAGCATATTCCTATCTATCACCCTTTAAATAATATGCTTACAATCTGTTTTCATTCCGAGCAAGATCCAGAACTCCACCTTGTGCAGAAATTGTATTGCATTTTCCCACTCACTGACTTATCTAAATCATTCTGAAGTCCCTTTCCGTCCCCTTACCATTCAAATTTTTCCTAGTTTTGTGTCATCCCCAAAGTTGGAAAATTATGTTTAATGTCCCCCATTCAAATTAATATTGTATTACAGCCACTTCCCCATATCCAAGCATGGATTTTGGGTAACTGTAATTGCAGGTAATTGCAGGAGACGTAGTCGCCATGGACACTGGAAGTGTCTCTGAATTAAGAGATCACACAGGTGATGCATCACGGCCGAGTTTCTCTGTCATTAATACCCTGAAACTGTTCACTTTAAGTTTTTACTTCCTTCTAGTTTAAAATATTATATACATATATATATTAAGGACCTTCCCTGATTCCTTAATTTAAGGAACATCCAGCAACCGGCAGGGCAATTAATGAAACTCCTGGCCAGATAAGAACAAACATTACAAAAGAGAAAGAAATATAGTTTTTGAGCACTTTGCCACCAATACAGTTTGTTTTTAACATGGAAACATTGTTATAACGCAAAACAAAACAACAGTCAATTTGTGCATCGAAATTTCCTAAAAACAACAGAATCATAAAATGTTGTGATGCATGAGGAGGCCATTCGCCCCAACGTTTCTGCATTAGCTATATTACGTCGTCCGGCTGTTATCTGTATGCCAATCTCCTGCCTATTCCCCAAATTCTTGCAAATCATTACTATCCAAAAAGAAAACAACCCAGTGTCTTTTTTTAATGCTTCAATTGAACCTGCCTCCACCACCCTTCCAGAGAGTGCATTCCAGACCCTTATTCATTTTGCTCACATCAACTCTCTTCGAATATATACCACCTTTTTCTTGTTTCTTCAACAATTTGAAACGGACCAGATAATGTTTTCCTAATGTTGTTACTTGAATAATTATTGTCCTGGTCAGCCGACCATAAATAATTCGGTATAATTTCATGTACAATTTTTTGCATTCACTTTACAAGCACTAGTTAGATTATTCTACTGTCTGACATTGAATGGATTTGCACTGTTCATGAACCACCCGATGGTTGACCACAGTTGGATTAGACTTTATTTCTATCAACGGTCTCCAGCTTGCGTTCAGAATGACAATTCACTCCAAAATATAACCCATCAGCACTGTATAACATTCCGCATTAATTTGATCATCTGGAGCAGTGATTAGGGCCCGTAATTTTGAATAAGAAGACGCCAGTTCAAGTTTAATCTCCGAAGCTGATACCATTGGAAGGTGCATTTATAATGTCACCGAACAGCTTAAACCTGCAAACTGAATAGTCAGTGTAAAGGAGAAATTTGTAATCAGTCACATCTTGGAAAAATAAGTGGTTGCTGTCATCACAGTCTGTAGCTGCAAAGCAACATGTGTTACATGTTAAAAAAAAAGATCGTTATCGCTGTAACTTGGGAGCTCGCAGTGAAGTGCGATACTACACAGTGGCATTGTAAATTTCCCATTCCGCTGTATGAGCAGTGCAGTTTTTTTTTCCAACACGATTTTCATCTTGGACTCTGGGAAAGTTTATATTCACAGGTTGCTTCAACACAATTTTGAAGAACGGAAGAAACCTATTGCATTGCCTTTGGAACCGGTTTCACAAACTAGAACTAAACCTCCACGTAGATTCCCATTTAGTCTCTGACCAAGATTGATTTATTCACTAAATAAAAACCTAAAGAATTGCGGATGCTGTAAATCAGGAACAAAAACAAAGTTGCTGGAAAAGCTCAGCAGGTCTGGCAGCATTTGTGGAGGAGAAAACAGAGTTAACGTTTCGGATCCGGTGACCCTTCCTCAGAATGATTTATTCACTGTTCTCACTTCACAGGTTTAACCAATATTTCCACTGGTTAAATATTACATTCCATGTTTCGTTGTTTTAATTTTTATTCTCTTTGTGTATTATTCTCTGTATTGAGCTAGGCCTAGCCACAAAGGCCCAGGACCTTCTATTCCAGGGTTTGGGTTTTCTGCTGCTGTAGATAGGTGTTTTAAAAAAAATGTCAAGTGTCGGAGATAACAAGGTGTAGAGCTGGATGAACACAGCAGGCCAGGCAGCATCAGAGGAGCAGGAAGGCTGACGTTTCGGGCTTAGACTCTCCTAGGCCCGAAACGTCAGTCTTCCCGCTCCTCTGATGCTGCCTGACCTGCTGTGTTCATCTAGCTCTACACCTTGTTACGTCAAGTGTCGGAGGCAGGTTAAGTCTCCATTGCAGTGCACATCGTCCATACTCAAAATTTTGTTATTTTGTGCTTTTGCCTCTGCTCTTTTCAGTGGTCAATCTTTGCTCCTGGATTCCTCCAACATTAGGACTGCACTGTTCTAAATCAGGGGGATGGAGGGGAGAAAAGTAAAAGTGGACAGGAACAGAGATGTAGAATAAACTGCAGCGAATTATCTGTTCGTTCCCTGCTAAGCCGAATGTACATTTCCTTTGACTTCAATGTTACAACATAATTGTTGCCTCAAAAGAGGATCCGCAAATGAAATTCCATATGATTTGGGTTCCGACCGTATGCTAATTACACGTCTGGTCATTCCTTAACTCAGCTCTCGCACTCAATTCCTTCAAATTCAAGGTACCTTGATCCACAGTAAACTTCAGAGCTCCGAACATTCTTAACCTCTGGAGCTTTGCTCCTTTATACGGTTGACGTCTGGACAAAACTTAATTTACATCCAAACTATCTTTGGGCTTCCCTGTGATCTTATTTGATTTTCTCTCCAAGACACAAAATCTAGATTAATCGACTTCATTGCTGCTGAACTCTTGTGCACTCATATCTTCTTCCTGTCTTCCATGTTAGCTCATATCGTAAATGGTTCAGTTTTCTCAGGTCTTATCCAAATTATTTTCAAATCCACTGATATAAAACTGTCCATTACATATACCCAGAAGTGATCCCTATGACCTACACTTGGTTCATATCTAATCCTCATTACACGGCTGTCAAACCTGAAACTATAACACCCATTCTCCTGCAATTGGATCTTCCACGGTGCTTCTGTCATCCATTCACTGGCTCCCTCTGTATTAGAAATCAGACGAGAGAAAACTGCGCTCATGTGCCGGTTTTAGGGCTACGGGAAGGACCGATGTCTGATCTCGGGTTTTCTGTCGGAAAGGATTGATAAATATTCCTCAGCTGGAATATGGCACTCCCTGCGGGGAATTACACATTTACGAAGATAGCAAGTCATTGGAAACTGCGTGGTGGAAATTTATCAGGATTGCATCAAGAATGGGGTTCTTCAGTTAGATGGAGAGATTGGAGAAACAGAAACTGCTTTCCATCCGGCGGAGAATATTGAGGTGGGAAGGGTTGGGGGTGTGGATGGTGGTTGAACAGAGGTATTTGGACATTTTGAGTGAATAGACAGCAGACTCCCTTCGCGCTCATGACTGCAAATTACAGGAACATAAACCAAGCATTTCAATAAATGAAAACAAGGACCAAATTACTGACAATGTTTTTTTTAAATAATCTCCCAGCTCCTGCTTCTGTGACCCTGGATCCGAACACAGCGAATCCTTGGCTCGTTCTGTCTGAGGACCGGACCAGTGTGAGGCTCGGCGGAATTCGAAAGCAGCTCCCTGACTCCCCGACGCGTTTTGATCAGTACGCCTGCGTCTTGGGAGCGGAGGGATTCACTTCGGGGAAGCATTATTGGGAAGTGAGGGTTGGCAATAAAACAGAGTGGCGTTTGGGAGTGGCCCAAGAATCTATCAACAGGAAAGGGGAATTCAACCTAAGATCTGATTCTGGCTGCTGGCTCGTGTGGTTGAAACCAAGGAAAGGATACGTCGCCGGTACCTCTCCCTCTGAGACCAGCCTCACGACAATTGTGAAACCCCGGAACATCGGGGTTTACCTGGACTATGAGGGTGGACAGGTGTCATTTTACAATGCGGACACCATGTCCCCCCTCCACACTTTCACCCACACTTTCACTGAGAGGGTCTTTCCCATCTTCTTTCCGGGTCTGAATGTCGACTGCAAAAACGCAGCACCACTGATAATCTGCGGTGTCAGAGATCACTAGAAAGGCCGCCTCATAATTTTACACACCATGTCACCATGTCCTACAGGGGTCATCGGCCTCAAAGATAAGTGGGGCATTTGGACCAATTGTCACCTGAGGTTGTTGCAGTCACCAATATTTTACAATTGGTGATATTTATATTCTTAGTCAGTATCATGAAAGAAAGTTATAGCAACTGCACCAAAGATGCAGTTAATTTCAAAACTAATTTGAAAATCTCAAAAGCATTGTCAATCAATGAGGGCAGAAACAACGGTGAATCGCAACTCAGCAAAAAAGAAACATTAATGAAACACGATAATTAAAGTTTAAGAGTGCTAGGAAGAGCTATTAGGTTGTGAGAGAACACAAGGGGGCGTTGATGACAAAGGAAACTCATTATGTCGCCGCAGTTTTATAATATCCCATGAAAGTGAAGAGGAGAAGGGGAACCACGTAGAAATTAAATTACAAGGAAGTAGACGGGATTATTGGCGATAAGTCAAAACCCAGATGTTGAAAATTAACAGAAAGCTCATACCTGTGGAGAGTTTGGACAAAGATTGTGTAAAAATATTTTATTTTTAATACGTAGATGAATGTGCTGTGCCCTGGCTCTGACTCGTACAACGACCCTGTGAATGTAAATATTAAACAGGAGTGTTCCATCGCTCAAGATTTTAAATGTTCCTGTATTATCTTGCTGACAAATGCAGCTCCTTCCTCCACACACACACACACACACACGCACACACACACATTCAAACACGAGTGGTTATAACCTGTCAATGATGGTTCTTCAACCTTAAACAGCAGGAGGCCAAAACCAAGACAGCAAGCACATCAGCAATAGAATGTCAGGGTGTTGCCGCTGATACTGAAGAATAGTTTCATCAGATTGATGACATATTTACCCTACTTTTGAGAGCCGGAAACGTTCCCTGAATATCAGGAAGATCAAAGTCCTTTACCGAATAGGTCAAACGCAATAATATTAGAGCAGGAGAGATGCATTCCCATACGAGGTAGAAGAATCACATTCAGAGTTCCCACTCTATTGAAAGAGGTAGAAAGTAAAACAGAAATGGGAAAACGCGCATAGGACAAGTATAAATTTAGTAATGCATTTATGAACCAGGTTGAAAAAAGGAGGTTCTGGGGAGGTGAAAAATCAATTGAGAGAAGCAAAGACAGAGGATTAGAAACGTCTGGTCGTTAACAAAACATAAAATGCAAAACCTATCAACAAATAAACATTAGTGCCATTTTCAGGGGATAAATCAAATTATTCATACCGACTGCCATCCTGCATTCACCATCCATCACCTTTCACTTTCTCTGCAACTCATCCGACAGCCCCGATAATTGAGGATGAACTTTGTAAAAGCGCTTGATGCAAGACGCAAATAGTAATAGAAAACTTTGCTTATGGTTTCATTTCCAATTTAACTGAGCCCAGAATCGTTATTTCATTTCTCCTTTTTTTTAAAAAAAAAGAGGTGTTGGCAATATTTGCGACCAATGCTCGTCAGCAGACAAGTTGCACTACTGTAATTCATTTCAAACGTAGTAATGCAGTACTATCTTTCGCCTGTGAGCAACATAATAAGCAGGAAAGTCACTGGATCCATGCAGTTCACAGCTAATTCTACCCGGTCAATTTCTCTCTACAGTAGACTTTCAATTTGTTTCTTATCTCCTCCTCCTTTTACTACCCGAAAGTGCAGCATTATGTTCAACCACGATCTGGAACCACATTACCCAGCACATACCAAACTTTACCATTAGCACTGTAACGAAGACTATCCTGGTTCAAAGAGCTTTACAAGAGAAAGTGCCAGGAGGATCACAGGCATACATCAAAATGAAGTGTCAATCTGGTGAAGCTATAACAGATTTAATGACATGGCAAACAGTTGAGAATGCATACTTTGGACAGAGTAACGTGACACCATGATCAATCAATCAAATCTTAGCTTTGCAGTTCAGCACATCCAGTCGTGAAAGGTGATGGTTAAGTAAACAATTCACTGCAGGGTGATACCCGCAGATATGCCATTCTTAATCATGAGGGAGCCTTGCCATCAGTGCAAGTAATAAGGCTGAAGCATTTGTACCTATTTTCAACTGCACAGACCAACTGGAAGATTCATCTCCGTTTCTGCCTGAAGTCTCTAAAGAAGAAGAAAAAAGGTTGAATCCACCACTGTTAATATTCAGGTATTTGCCATTGATCAGAAAATTAACTGCACAAGCCATATAGATTTACTACAGTGTGGAAGCAATGATTCGGCTCATTGAGTCCACATCGATCCTCTGAAGAGCATCCTACCCAAACCCACCCAATGTCTGTAATCTTAAATTTCCCATGGCTAGCCCACCTGGCCTTCACATCCCTGGACACTATGGGCAATTTAACACGGCAGCTTAGCCTGATCTGCACATTTTTGGACTGTGGGAGGAAAGAGCACCCGGAGAAAACCCACGCAGACACGGGGAGAACGTGCAAACTCCACACAGACAGTCGCACGAGGGTAGAATTGAACCTGGGTCCCCGGTGCTGCGAGGCTGCCATGCTTACCACTGAGCCACCATGCCACCCTAATAAATACTGTGGTTGCAAGAAAAGTTGGAAATGACTTCTGTGGCGAGGAACTCATTTCAGTGCTCTTGAAACCTCTTTACCTTTTGCAAGAAACAAGCCAGGAGTGTGATAAAATAGTCTCCATTTGCCTGGATGAGTGGAGATCCAACAACACTCAGAGACTCTATACCGTTCAGAACACAGCGACTTGCACAGTTTGCTTCTACTTTTGCAAAATACTGCAGATTTTCCGTCATGTTAATAAATTTCAATTTTCCCGTCCTAAGCAGATTCTTTGCACCATGAAAAAGGTCCGATCCCTTTCTAGCTCCATTAGCCACCAGATCGTATTAAGAACTTTTACTGTCTATCTGGAACTTCGGATCAACCAGACTCCATATTTCACTATTTCCACCGATCGTTCCTGTGTCGAAAATCTTCTCCTCAACTGCAACCACTTCCTCCAAATCGTTGTTCTGGGGATATACATCGGTCCTAACAATATCTGACCTTCAGTGGGATATTTGATACATTCTTAGTTCCATTTCATCTCGGATCTCACTTCGTTATCAGAGCCATTTCATGCTCTTGCGCTGAACTGGAAAATGTAATCAATTCTTATGCAATGGTGATATACTTTCCAAGTCGATGTGCAGAATGTACCTCCTTTGATTGAGGATCAGCCCAAATGTAATATGAATATTCTGCCAGCAAGAGTCAGAAGCGCACTTTGTAACATGATAAACTTTGCATTGAGAGTGACTAAGACCTGGAAAGCGTTATATGAGAGTGCAGTGGTAGCCAACTCCGTCAAGAGTTGAATAGTTATCTTAAGAAATTAGTTATGCACTGCTATGGTGAAAGGCAGGAGAATAAGTCCTGTCGAGTTACAGAGAGACCACACAAACTGTTTGGCCTTATTTGAGCTGTGACAATTCGAGTTCTGCCTCTTTCCATATCTCAGCCCATCCTAGAAACTTAATCCACAAGATTCTTGTCACAAAGACAATTCATACATGCGAGAATGAGGGAAAAATTCTATACATAGCAAGGCCCCACCGAGAGATGATATGGTGAATGACCACATAATTGTTATTCGCTGGTATTAGTGTAGGAAGGAATGTTGGCCAAGACACGGGAAGGAACTCCCCTACTCCTCTTTACTGTGTGTTAAGTAACAAGTACTCAAGAACCTTAGTTATGTAACAGTCACTTGATGCAGAAGAGGTCTTGGTTCATTACGTCTGCAGGAGGGCAGAGCCGCCACCCGTAAGAAAACTGAGCAAACCGGGAGAAAAGGTGAGGTAAGAAGTATAAAACTATAAAACTCTGGTTAGACCACACTTGGAATATTGTGTTCAGTTCTGGTCACCTCATTATAGGAAATATGTGGAAGCTTTAGACAAGGTGCAGAGGAGATTTACCAGGATGCTGCCTGGATGTAGGGCAGGTCTTATGAGGAAAGGTTGAGGGAGCTAGGGCTTTTTTCAGTGGAGTGAAGAAGGATGAGAGGTGACTTGATAGAGGTGTACAAGATGATGAGAGGCACAGATAGAGTGGATAGTCAGAGACGTTCTCCCAGGGCGGAAATGACTATTGCGAGGGGGCATAATTTTAAGGTGATTGGAGGAAGGTATTGGAGAGATGTCAGAGGTAGGTTCTTCGCACAGAGAGTGGTGGGCGTGTGGAATGCGCTGCCGGCAGTGGTAGTGGAGTCAGATACTGTACAGACTTTTAAGCGACTCTTGGATAGGCACATGGAGGATAGTAAAATGTAGGGTATGCAGGGTAGATTGATCTTAGTAGGATAATAGGTCGGCACAAAATCGTGGGCCGAAGGGCCTGTGCTGTGCTGTACTATTCTATGATCTATGTTCTAAGTATGAAGAGGACCCCATCGATTTATTTACATCCATTTAATACAGTCTGCCTGGTTTATATCTCAAATTCATATATTACCGTTACCTCCGTGTCACCCCATGGTCTGGAAAATTGATTGTCCTAGCGTTGAATTCCCTTTAAGTGTCAAAGTCCTTCCTGGTTTCTCTCCCAATTTCTCTCCTAGCTCTGTTTTCGAAGCTGATTCCCGCTTCTAAATCACCTGATGCAGACTACAGGATGGGTAGAACAAACAGTTGTGAAAGTATTTTCCGGTTGACAGATTGGGATCAAAAACAACGTGGGAAGCGAGCACTCATGCCATTCGAAGCTGTTCAAAGTCAGATGATGTGACTTTTTTTTGTTCTGGACCAGCGTCCTGTAGAAAGGATCCACCTGTCAGAGGACCCTGTGTATAGAATTGTTTGGGCAAACCTGACCTTGACACAAAATCCCCTGCTTCAGCTGTGCAGACTTCCTCCGGAAAGAACATTCCAGGAAGAGAGGGACAATGGACTTTAACTCTGAGGTAGGTGTCAGCTATAGCTCAACAGTTGCACTATACCCCAGTGGGCAGAAGACCCTGAGAATCGAATTTCTGTCGGTTCCTCGAGTAGGAGCTGTGCACTGTATGAAGAGCCGCTTGGCTGGTTACTTCGGTGGATATCCGTTCAGACTGATGTCGAACACAGGCAGAGGGGTTCAACCCGGAATCTGGATTAACATTAATCCTTCAACACACATTTGAAATAATCAAAGGTTTTGGAAATTTATTCAGTTGCCGTTTGTGACATCTTGTTGTGCTCATAAGCTGTGATATAATTCACTGCATTACAGGTTTTACACAGCAAAACTCCATTGGAGTCTTTAGTGTATTTTGGGAAATATAGGGGTCGGGAATCGAGCTCTAAAAATGCCGTTGTTTCTTTTATATAAATAAAGGCGAATTTAGCCTCAGGTTCAATCACTCCATAGATACTTTTATACTTAGCATGTAAAGCTAGTACTTGACATTTATGGCAAGCTCTGCCTTAGGATGCGCGGCGGCAGTCATGAACAGTTTCTGTACACCAGGCTAACCCAGAGCTGCTGTGTTTAACAGTGAGATTACATTCGAGATAAATGCAAAAGGATCTCAGTCTCTGCTCAACTCCTCCCACTGCCTCCTTGTCCGTCTCCTTCTGTGTGTGTGTGTGCGTGTGTGTGTGTGTGTGTGTGTGATGCTGTTAATACTACACCGACCTTCACTCTTCTCCCGTTCTCCAACACTCTCGCACTCCAAAGCAGGTCTGTTTTGTATTCCCGTAGGAACTTCGAGAAGGTACGGGCTTGTCTTTCGTAAAAGCTTCTTGGTTACAATCGTGAACTTCATCAGGACGTTGCGGAGGCGTAAACCGTTCGTGCAACGATCCCATTGAAAGGGCAAGCGGTTTGAATCAGGAAGTGCCGAGTGTGAACATGGCTTCCAGACAACAGCTCCAGAGTCTGGTCGGGGAGACAATTTGTCCAATTTGTCTTGATTTCTTCGCGGATCCAGTAATACTGGATTGTGGCCACAACTTCTGCCGCTTCTGTATCACCCAGAGTTGGGAAAAGAAGGAGATAAATTCCTGCCCGGAATGTAGGGAGGAGTTTCCGGAAGGAAACTTCAGGATCAATCGGGCCTTAGGGAAACTGGCCGAAAAAGCTCGAAAATTAAAGCCGGATCTGAAAGAGACTGGAAATAAAGTTCACTGCGAGGAACATCAGGATGAACTGAAGCTGTTTTGTGAAACTGACAAGAAATTGATCTGTTACACATGTAGAGATTCGTGGAAACACCGAGGGCACAGGTTCCTGCCGATTAAAGAAGCTGTTGAAATTTACAAGGTAAAATAAACGTACTGTAGAAACCGAAACGAATGTTCATTTACATTTCCTGACATTTCGAATTCCTTTCCTAATTCTAGGAAGAGATAAAATGTTTCTTAGATTCTCTTACATTGAAGAAATCAGCAGTTCTAGAAAAGAAACTGAAACAGAAACAGAAGATTTCTGAAATTAGGGTAAGTAGCTGTGCTGATTTTCTGGGATCTTCGTTAGTTGTGTTCCCTTTATCGCGGGACATTAATGATGTTTCACATTTTATTTGGTAGGATCAGGCGAGCAGTCTGCAGACCCACATCACATCCGAGTTCACTAAAATGCACCAGATTCTCACTGAGAAAGAACAGAGTTTACTCAGAGATCTCAGGGAAGAAGAGGAGAGGATTCTAGAACCAATGGAGAAAAACCTTCGAGTCATTCAGGGGACTTTAAATAGTATTGAAGAGAAACTCTCAAAATTGCAGAAACAGATGGATCAAAAAGACGAGCTAATATTTCTGAAGGTGAGCGAATATGTTCTTGTCCGTTCAGCGAAAAGGTCACTGTCCCAAAATAACTACTGGTAACTGTGAAGAATAAGAGACCAAACTGGAAATGCATATTTTTCGGGCCAACATTGTAGTTATCGCTGAAGAGATGGCTTTCTGCAAAATCCGTAGAATTTCTGGTATACCTCCAACCTACCAGGAATGAGTTATTCCGTTGGAATAGTTTCAGTGTTTCCCAGTTTTAATTTGCTGCTGAGAAATACATTGCAAATCCAGTTATTGGTCTATGTTGTAAGTGTGTGAATGTTTGTTCGTGCGAGATATTACGTCTGTGAGCTCGAATGTGTTTGAGATCCTGTGTCTCACACATGTGATCAGACTTGGCAATACAAGATTGCAAAGAATCCTACAGCTCAGAAGTACATCAATCATCCATATTGGCTGTGCCTTCTCGTTGAAAGTACATCCAGTAGACCCTTCCCTACTGCTCTATCTCGATCGACATATTGGTTTCCTTTTCAAATATGTATCCAATTCCGTTGGGTTTCGGTTCCCACAACATTTGTCAGTACATTGCTAACCATCGTGTCATCAGAAAATTCCCGTTTATGCAATTAATTTGAAGATTCATGCACGTAACCTCCCAGGGATCTATGGGCGTTTAAAACTACGCAACTTCCTTTGTGTTGTGTTACTTCTTAATATTCATCATTCAAAAATATAGGAACTTACATATCTTATTTTAAATTTCACCATATGTGAGTTTATTTTGCCAGCCACATCATACACTTCTAACCTGTGTCATTATTATCACCACTATTTCAGGAGGAAGCTTCTTGGAAGAGAAGGTAGGACCTGCTCTTTATTGAACTACGACAAGACTTCCTTCTATTAACTCAGTATTGTTTGGATTGTTACCGGATTTTTCTCCCTGGCAACAGGCAACACTGTTCTTGATCTCAAATCACAAAACGTTGGCAGAGCTATTTAGGAGCTGTTAGTTGTGTTACAAAACTAGGTTCATCGTTCATAAGTATATAAAAACCAAGGTACTAAAATAACAATTCTGATTAGTGATTCAACAGGATTACATTTTATATGACTGATCTAAATAGTCCATTAAATCATAAGATACAGACAAATATCGCTATCTGGTGCCCAGAGGCGAAATTTTCCCTTGCACGCTGTAGGCGAAAAAAAAGTATTTTTGTTAATCAGAAACAAAAACAAAAATTGCTGAAAAAGCTCAGTAGATCGAGTGGCATCTGTAGAGAGAAATTAACGCTAACGTTTCAAATCCAGCGACCCTTCCTCAGAAGAAATTATTGTAGCTAGGAAAATGTTGTTTATGCAGAAGATAGGGTGGGTGGAGGAGGTAAGGACGAAATGATAGGTGGAGATAGAGCCCAAGGACAGAGAAGGACAGTTGGACAGAGTAGCTAATAATCAGCCTAATAGAGTGAATAGCTATTAACGGGGAATCTAAGTGACTAACAATCGGTTATGTGTAATGGCAGACCATGTGATAACATGGCCTGGTTTGTGGAGGTGGAGGAAAGGACGTGGGAGAAGGTGCCTCAAGCCCTAAACTTGTTGAACTCGACATTGAGTCCAGAAGGCTCTTCGAGTTCCCAAGCAGAAAATGAAGTGCTGTTCTTCCGGCTTGTGCTGAGCTTTGCTGGAGCACTGCCGAAAGCATGAAATAGATATGTCGGCAGGGAACAAGCTGGTGTGTTGAAGTGGCAGGCAACAGGAAGCTAAGGGTCTTTTCTTAGACAGACGTAGGCGTTCTGCAAAGTGGTCACCCAGTCTACACTTCATTTCCCCAATGTAGAAGAGACCACTTTGTGAGCAGTGACTGCAGTAGACTAGATTGTGTGAAGTGCAGGTAAGGCACTGCCTCACCTGGATGATGTATTTGGCCCTTGGATATTGGGGATGGACGAAGTAAATGGGCAGGTGTTACAACTCCTGCAGTTGCAGGAGAGGAGGCCCTGGGGCTCTGGGTGGTGTTTTGGGAGTGAACAAAGAGTGGACCAGGGTATCTTGGAGGGAACGGTCCTTGTGGAAGGCTGACAAAAGGAGGAGAGGGGAATGTGTCTGGTGGTGGAATGTCACTGGAGGTGGTAGAAATGGCAGCTAATGATCCTCTGGAGTGGATACTGGTGGATGGTAAGTTAGAACAAGGGAGAGTCTATTACTGCTGTGAGTGGGAAGAGAGGGGTGAGGGTTGAAGAGTTTTTATTTTGATTAATCAACCTGTCCAGAGTTGCTATCACTCACCTCTGGAACAGGTGGGCCTTGAAGTGGGCCTCCTGGTCCAGGAGTATGGAAACTCTCACTGCGCTAGAAGAGCCTATAACATGCTGTAAGCTATTGGGGTATCTGAGGACTTCTGACTTCTTTTCCAGACACAAGAACACAATAAATAAGGGCAGGAGTGAATCATTCACCCTTCAAGACTGTTGCACTATTCAATGTAACCATGGCTGATTTTCTCCTTCAATTATGTTTTCGGAATGATTAAAAATTTGACTACTTTAGATGTACTCAATGACAGAGCATGCACAAATCTTTATAATAGAGAATGCTGTAGATTTACAACCATGTAAGTGAAGAATCATTCCCATAGTTTGATACTTCCAAGAAATGGGTCATAGGTGTGTTGTGTGACTCCTGGCCAATCAGAGGAAGACATGCCTTGAAAAGAGGAAAGGGATTTTGGTTTATACCATAATATAATCGTGTTCTGTACTCACAAGAACAATGCCAATCATATGGTACACCTAGAGATTTTAATGTACTGTAATTTTCCAAATCTCTTCAAAGGAAAGATATAAAACAAATTGGACACTGAGCCACATGAACACAATACCCAGGGGAATTCCACAGACACATGACACTTTGACAAAGAAAATTTCATGATCCTGTTCTTAAATAGGGATTCCTTATTTTGCAGAGACAACAAGGTGCAGGGCTGGATGAACACAGCAGGCCAAGCAGCATCATTGGAGCAGAGAGGCTGACGTTTCGGGCCTAGACCCTTCATCAGAAAAGGGGGAGGGGAAGGGGGTTTTGAAATAAATAGGGAGAGAGTGGGAGGCGGATAGAAGAGGGATAGAGGAGAGGATAGGTGGCGAGGAAACAAACAGGTCGAAGAGGCGGGGATGGGGCCAGGAAAGGTGAGCGTAGGTAGGGAGTTAGAAAGGGGATAGGTCAGTCCAGGGAGGACGGACAGGTCAAGGGGGCAGGATGAGGTTGGTCGGTAGGAGATGGAGGTGCGGCTTGAGGTGGGAGGAGGGGATAGGTGGGAGGAAGAACAGGTTAGGGAGGCAGGGACGAGCTGGACTGGTTTTGGGATGCGGTGGGGGGAGGGGAGATTTTGAAACTTGTGAAATCCACATTGATACCATTGGGCTGCAGGGTTCCCAAGCGGAATATGAGTTGCTGTTCCTGCAACCTTCGGGTGGCATCGTTGTGGCACTGCAGGAGGCCCAGGATGGACATGTCGTCTGAGGAATGGGAGGGGGAGTTGAAATGGTTCGCGACTGGGAGGTGCAGTTGTTTGTTGCGAACCGAGCGTAAGTGTTCTGCAAAGCGGTCCCCGAGTCTCCGCTTGGTTTCCCCGATGTAGAGGAAGCCACACCGGGTACAGCGGATGCAGTATACCACATTGGCAGATGTGCAGGTGAACATCTGCTTGATGTGGAAAGTCTTCTTGGGGCCTGGGATGCGGGTGAGGGAGGAGGTATGGGGGCAGGTGTAGCACTTCCTGCGGTTGCAGGGAAAAGTGCCGGGTGTGGTGGAGCTGGAGGGGAGTGTGGAGCGGACAAGGGAGTCACGGAGAGAGTTGTCCCTCCGGAAAGCAGATAAAGGTGGGGAGGGAAAGATGTCTTTGGTGGTGGGGTCGGATTGCAGATGGCGGAAGTGTCGGAGGATGATGCGTTGGATCCGGAGGTTGGTGGGGTGGTACGTGAGGACGAGGGGGATTCTTTTTTGGTTTTTATTGCGTGGACGGGGTGTGAGGGATGAGGTGCGGGAGATGTGGGAGACACGGTTGAGGGCGTTCTCGACCACCGAGGAGGGGAAGTTACGGTCCTTGAAAAACGAGGACAACTGAGATGTACGGGAGTGGAATGCCTCATCCTGGGAGCAGATGCGGCGGAGGCGAAGGAATTGGGAATAGGGGATAGCATTTTTGCAGGAAGGTGGGTGGGAGGAGGAGTATTCTAGGTAGCTGTGGGAGTCGGTGGGCTTGAAATGAATATCGGTTTCGAGGTGGTTGCCCGATATGGAGACAGAGAGGTCCAGGAAGGGGAGAGAGGTGTTAGAGATGGTCCAGGTAAATTTAAGGTTGGGGTGGAAGGTGTTAGTGAAGTGTATGAACTGTTCGAGCTCCTCGTGGGAGCACGAGGCGGCACCGATACAGTCATCAATGTAACGGAGGAAGAGGTGGGGTTTAGGGCCGGTGTAGGTACGGAAGAGGGATTGTTCCACGTAACCTACAAAGAGGCAGGCGTAGCTTGGGCCCATGCGGGTACCCATGGCTACCCCCTTTGTCTGTAGGAAGTGGGAGGAATTGAAAG